CCCTTAGGATATATAGCTCTAATAAGTCAAATTGCTACAATGTAAAGGCAATTCAAGTAACACTTTCTGTGGCTAAGCCACCAACCTGGAACACAATTAGGGTTCTTTGTTTCATTTTGCTTTCAATATGAAGGGGGCACTTTCTCATTTTTGTTTAATTTTGTTTTATAATTTTATAAAACATTTTTATAGTTCTGAAGTCAAAATTATGAGACCTCAAAAAGTTCGAGATTCTATCTCGGTTCCATTCTTTTTCTTCCTTCACCTTGTAGATAACCACTTTTATTAATCTCCTTTTTGATTTTATTTTTCTAAAAAATGTACCATCATGTGCCACTTAATGACTGGGATATGTTCTGAGATATGCGTTATTAGTAATGCTGCCCCGTGCAGTCATCACAGAGTGCACTTACACAAACCGAGACGGTACAGGCTCCCACACACCTAGGCTATATGCTATAGCCTACTGCTCGTTGGCTACACCCCATACAGCATTAGTAAACTGAAAACTAGGCGACTGTAACACAACTGTAAGTATTTGTGCATCCAAACATATTTAAACATAGAAAAGGGACAGGAAAAATACAGCATTGCCATCTAAGGGAACAACATCATATATGTGGGCCATCACTGACTGAAACATGTGGTCCATGACAGTATAAGCAAATACACACACGTTTTTCTTCGTATGCCCTACCCACCTTTCTTAGATAACAGTGCTATACTTACTGTTCTGTTCTGTACTTGCTCTCACATTCTGGAGATCAGCCCACAGTGGAATTTCCACAGGTCTTCCTCATTCCACCCTACAGCTGCGTGGATGTACCACGGTTTATTATCCTGAAGTACCTGAGGGTTAGTTCTAGGCCCCCAGTTCTTCTCACTCTGCATCTTTCCACAGGAAACTTCAATTGTAGACTCAGCCTCTAAGAAAGACATCTCCTGTACTCAACTCCCCCTTACAGACAGCCTACTCAAAAGAGCACCTTAGATGCCTCAAAGTCAACACACCTAAAATCAAACCTACGACTTTTCTTTCCGACCTGGTCAACCCCTTGTCTCTGTAAATGGCACCAGTTCTGAATCAAAACCTTAAGAGTTAACCTTAACACTTCTTTATTCCTCAGCCTCCTCATCTAACCCATTACCAAGACCTGTTTATTCTGCCATCTAAACCTGCCTCATATCCCTCTACTTTGCCCCGTCTACTGCTACTGTCCCATCACAAGCCTTGCCTCCAATGCCACCTGCCTCTCCTGACTTTCCTTATAGTATACTTTACCTGTCTTCCCTATGGGTTCGTTTCTCTGCCTGGCTTCCTGAAATGCTGGGGTTCCTCAAGATTTGGTCTCATGCTCTTTCTACTCTTACTGTAATATGAACACTCTCCCTAGGCTAAGTCACTCTGCCCCATTATTTTAGTTACCTTATAATTAATCAGGGTCTCCCAAATTTACATTTCATGCTCAGTCTATACTTTGAGGTACAGTACTCCAAAATCACTACTACTTGTCATCACCACTGGGATAACTAGGTCAACCAAAAACAACTCAATTTAATTCCTCTGAAACCAAATTTACATCATCTCCAAATCTGATCTCCTTCTAGTGTTCCTACCTCATTGAAAGAAATCACCATTACAGAACAAACCAGAAATCGAACAAGCAACCCTGACAGCAATCCCTTCTCCCTTCAGTTTGTTTTTATTTTCTTTCTTTCCTTCTTTTTTTTTTAAGATGGTGACTTGCTCTGTCACCAGGCTGGAGTGCAGTGGTGCAATCTCAGCTCACTGCAACCTCTGCCTACTGGGTTCAAGCCATTCTCCTGCCTCAGCCTCTTGAGTAGCTGACATTACAAGCACGCACCACTGCGCCCAGCTAATCTGTGTATTTTTAGTAGAGACAGGATTTCACCATGTTGGCCAGGATGGTCTCAATCTCTTGACCTCGTGATCCACCCGCCTCTACCTTCCGAAGTGCTGAGATTACGGGTGTGCACCACCGCGATCAGCCTTTGTTTTTATTTTCTTTATTACCCCATCTCCTTTATCTTCCATGTCTAACAGAAGTCCTGCTGGCTTTATCTCCCAGATATCTCTGGGACTGGTTCACTTCTTTCTGTCCCTAACACCGCTAACCTAGTTCAAGTTATTCATGCATTCATTGTATAACTGGAAGCCTACTCTGGCCAGGGACTGTTTTAGGTTTTCAGAAATGTGAGTGAATGAAAGAGGCAACACCTTCTACTGTAGCTAAGGATGCAGAGGAAGATACAGATCATGAAGAAATAGGTACTATTACACAGTGCTAAGCACAGGGAGGGGAAATAAAGCATGAGGAGGAGACAGTGTGGGGACTGGAGGGCCGTGTGTCAGATGAGCTATGCCTGTGTGGGTAGAAGCCTGTGCAGCACAAGGAAGTGAGCCACATGGGCACAAGACTGCCACAAAGAACAGTCCCAGACAGAAAAAAGCAGTGGCAGAGGCCCGGAGTGGAGGCCTGCTTGAACCTCCCTGACAAACTGCAGGGCTGCCAAGGGTAATTAGAGGCCTCGAATAAAAGGCAGGGTAGAAGTAGTTGAGGGTGAAGAGGTAGCCAGGGTCAGACCATGTAGTGTATTTCTCCCACAGAAGTGTTAAAAAGACAGACAAGTGTGGTTCCCATATCAAAAAATCTCAACTTTCTTCAGAGAGGAGAAAGCTTTCCCTAGCACAGGGGCTGTGGAGACCAAGGCTGCCTGCCCTGCAGCTCCTCACTGGGCCCATGGCACAGCGGGCTATCACTGAGTCGTCTGGACCGGACAAGCCCTGGCACTGCAGCCATCAGCCTTTCCACATGGGCTGCAGGCTGGTGCCAGCAGAACACAGCCTGGGCCTGCCCTGGGCTACTTATGGCTCCTCAGAGCCTGTGCTTGGCTCTCAAGCACCAACCAAACCTTGTGACAGACAGAGCCCGTGGCTCTCTCGGGTGCCTGTTCTGCCTTCTCCTCACTGGCTTTGCTTCTCCAGACCTTCACGAACACCATTTCTTAGGCGGAACAATTCTCTATATTCTCGGATCCTGGGACCTTCCTCAAGGAAACCTTTGCTGACGCCACCTGCCTGCTCTGTGCTCTCACAGCACCGAGTGTCTTTCCCACGTGGTCCTCACTGGAACATGTCCTTCTATGCCTTGTGTGCAAAGAGTGTGTTCACCCTGTTCCCTCACTAGATCGTGTGCTCTACAAGTGCAAGACCTGTCTCCCTTTCTGCCCAATTCTATACCACCAGCGCTCAGCAGATTGCTCATGACTCACCAAAGGATAGCAAAGCCGTGGGTGAGGGTTCATCCTTGATCACCCAGAGCCAGAGCCCCCCCAGTTCAGCAGCTCTCAGTCCCCAACTGCCACGATGGCCCCTCCCTGTTTCTCTCCTCTGATTACTTCTTGGACTCTGTCACCAATTCCTCCTACTTAAGTGCCTCACAAATGCTGGTTTCCTGGAATGTGGGCCTCTGCTCAGCCCCCTACCCAGCCAGCTCTAGGCTTCCAATGCCCCTGTCATGCTGATGGCTCCCTGACTTCCCTTGAGTTTCGGCACTGTCACTTACCTGTCCTGTCACTTATACACCTGTCCGCCAGCAATCTCCACCTACTTCACTTGCATCTCAAGTGAAATTCATCCCACACCCAACTCCTCCTGTACCTTGATCATGCAGGTGCCTCCTCGTCCCTCACAAACCATGGCAAGTGTCTTTGTCTGGTACCTTCCACGTCCTGCCTCCCTCCATGACTGCAATCGCTCTGCAAGGCTTCCTGCCTCTTGTTTTGCTTCACTTTTCTTTTTTTTTTTTTTTGGAGATGGAGTCTCGCACTGCCACCCAGGCTGGAGTGATGTGGCACAATCGTGGCTCACCAGAACCCACCTCCCAGGTTCAAGTGATTCTCCTGCCTCAGCCTCCTGAGTAGCTGGGATTGCAGACGCCCATCACCACGCCTGGCTAATTTTTGTATTCTTAGTAAATACGGGGTTTCACCATGTTGGCCAGATTGGTCACAAACTTCTGACCTCATGTGATCCACCCACCTCAGCTTCCCAAAGTGCTGGGATTACAGGTATGAGCCACCGCGCCTGGAGTTTTGCCTCACTTTCAGTCATGATGCTTCCAAAGTGACCATTCTTATAAATTCAAATCACATTAAGAATGTCATGAATATATTCTCTTTGTGAAAAATTAAAACGTTACATATAAATAACATTCGTTTTCATGGGACCCATCCTCGATCCTATTCCAAGTGTAACTAATGTCACCAGCTAAGTGCGTCCTCCTTAACATTCTCTCTGGGCTTACGTGCACCTTAGACGTGCACATAATTTTCATTAAACATAAATGGTGACTTCGTAACAATGCTCTGTAACTTGCAGGGAGCTCTGTGCGTGTCCCTGGGCTCTCGTTTACAGGGTGGTGATGCTTGCCAGAGGAATGACACACTGCTGTTCTTACACTGACGGAGGCTCAACTGTTTCTAATTCAGACCGATTTTTCTAAGATACCAAGGACCCTATGATTCCCTGCCCGACTCCTTCAGTGATTTCCAGGGCTCCGTGGGACCGTTTCCACCTCTCAGAACCGTGCCAAAGCACTCAGCTCGTGGCCCTTTCCTAGCTTTCTAGGCTCTTTCCTTCCTTACCTCCTCCTTTTCCCAAATACACACCCTGAGCTCGGCCAGAGTGAATTATTCGAAATTCCTCAAATACACTATGTTTGCTTAACGAATACATGAAAATACAGCCCTCTCCTGATAGAACAAGAAAGAGCAAGAAGAGATTCTGGGAGATTTGTGGTGAAGTGATTACGCGGGAATAATCACATCTAAGAGCCTGGGCTTCCCCTTCCCCACCACTTCTGAAGGTCTGAGAATCCTCAAGGGAGTTTCCCAACCAACACTCCAGGCTGCACCTCCTCTCATTAACCAGAGAGTTGCCCACCACGATTCCCAGGCACCTTGGGCCACCCACTTACCTGGACAGGGGCCACCAGAACCGTCTTTCTCCACCTTCCAGGGATCTTCTCCTTGCTGCAACAGGGAGATCACTTTTGGTTTGGTAAACGGGAGCCCTGCACGCAGACAAAAAAGCAAAACAAAACAAATCAGGCTTTTTGTTTTGACAGTTATCCCAAATTTAAACACAAAACTCATAGGATGGTACAAAGAGCTTCCGTGTAGTGCTTAAGTTGTGCCCCCAGGAGGGGAGGGGGGAGGGTAAGGAAAAGCCAAGTGACTTGTAGGACAGGAATTTGGTATGATTAATTAAATGGTAACACAATACAATATACATGCCATATTTGTAATCAATAGGGTGCCATTAGCTTTGTACAGAAGAGGGAATGTTAGATATAGAAACTGATTCAAATTTGTAAGTAGGTTATCTATGAAAAGGATTATGTACAGGTAGTTTGTTTAAAAGGAGAAAACGTTATCTGACTTCCTTTTAAGGACGGCAACGTTCAGCAAACTATGGGCCATGGGCCAAATCCAGACCACTGCCTGTTTATGTATGGCCTTGTACAAAGAATGGTAGACAAAAAGAGAAATATGTTACAGAGACCATTTTGCAGCCCACGAAGCCTAAAATTTTTACTACCTGGCTTTTTATAGTCAAAGTTTGCTGATCCCTGGAAAAAACTAGTGGGAAAGGCAAGTGGTTGGCCCAGAATCTGAATGAAGCCCTCCTTGAGAGATGAGCAAACTACAGAACAATCATTGGGAAATGATGCCTGAAACGTCAAGAAACTCTGAATGTGCAATTACATAAAGGGAGGGGGATGATTATCAATACCACCTGTTCCATTCCCAGACACAGGGGCAATTCCATGCCTGTAAGGAGGAGTATGTTTTTAACATTTAGTTATAAAGATCTGATTTGTACAATCCTCAAACTCAGCTCAAGTTTTTCAGCGACCAACAGCTTTTATTCAGGGAAGGGCGTGCGGAGATAGCCCAACTTCTGAATTCTGTTTCTACAGGGGAAATTTCCTTACCCAGTGAGACCAAGTTCCTATAGTTCTCCAGCATCACGTCCCGGTACAAGTTTCTCTGAGAAGGAGCCAGCTTCTTCCACTCATCCCGGGTAAAGAGCACAGCCACATCCTCGAACGTCAGTGACACCTGTAAGGACAAGCCGTTCCAGCTCACCCAGGTCCAGCCTCAGAGTGGGGAAGACAGGCCACCCAAGAAACGCTTCTGATACTATTCAAGCTTCTGAAGGTTCCAGGTCATTCATTTAGTGAACGACTGGCCAGTAACAAAGACATACTGAGCAGCACACAGTGAGAGCCAGGCCTTGTCCAGCCACTATAAGAGATAGGTAGAGGGGTTACGGCTATCAGTGGAAGTGTTAATTAGAATATTCTTTCTGATACATATTAGAAGCCTTAAGTATCAATTACTCTATTTGTACTGTAATGAACAGTGCAATAAAGTACACAAACATATTCACGTTTGTAAGAGCAAAAAAAAACCAGGAACAATCTAAATACTTAATGATGGAGGTTAGGTTAAATAAGGAACTCTCTGTGTGCTGACTCAAGCTTAAGGAGAGTAATGATGAAAAGTAAAATAGCTGTAATTTATTGAAGGCTTTCTATGGGCCAAGTACTGTTCTAAGAGCTTTACGTTAATTTGCAGTGTATAACCTTTAATATTTACAACAATTCTACGAAGCAGGTATTATTATTGTTGCCACTTTACACAAAAGAAAAAGTCACAGACAGGGTAAGAAATTTGTCCAGGTCACAGAGTCATTGACCAGCTTTGTGACTTGTGACTTGTACACATTTTTTTTTTTCTTTGAGACAGAGTTTGGCCCTTGTTGTCCAGGCTGGAGTGCAATGGCATGATCTCGGCCCACTATACCTTCGCCTCCTGGGTTCAAGCGATTCTCTTGCCTCAGCCTCTCAAATAGCTGGAATTACAGACACCCGCCAACATGCCCGGCTAATTCTTATATTTTCAGTAGAGATGGAGTTTCACCATGTTGGCCAGGCTGGTCTCCTGACCTCAGGTGATCTGTCTGCCTCAGCCTCTCAAAGTGCTGGGACTACAGGCGTGAGCCACTGCAGCCGATCGACTTGTACAAATTTTTTATCCTCTCTGTGTGTTTTTTCCTGTGTAATTCAAATCTGGGCAGATGTCTGATTGAGCCTCCATTCTTAACTACTCTGTAAAACTGCCTTTTAATGTCTGCCCCTTAGGGTTAAGAAATAAAGATAGACAGTGATGATGGTTGCACAACAATGTGCAAGTACTTAAAATGCCACTGAATTATACACTTAAAAAATTAAAACAGTAGGCTGGGCGCGGTGGCTGTAATCCCAGCCCTTTGGGAGGCCCAGGCGGGTGGATCACGAGGTCAAGAGATCAAGACCATTCTTGACAACATGGTGAAACCCCGTCTCTACTAAAAATACGAAAAATTAGCTGAACGTGGTGGTATGTGCCTGCAGTCCCAGCTACTCAGGAGGTTGAGGCAGGAGAATTGCTTGAACCCGGGAGGCGAAGGTTGCAGTGAGCCGAGATCGCACCACTGCACTCCAGCCTGGCGCCTGGCAATGGAGACTCCGTCTCGAAAAAAGAAAAAAAAAAAAAAAAATTAAAACGGTAAATTTTATGTTATATATATTTTGCCACAATTTATAAAAAGGTTAAAATGATAAAATACGTACATACATACACACACAAATAAATGCGTATAAAAAATGATTCGGGCTGTGTACAGTGGCGCACACCTGTAATCCGGCATTTTGGGAGGCTGAGGCGGGTGAATTACCTGAGGTCAGGAGTTCGAGATCAGCCTGGCTAACGTGGTGAAACCCCATCTTTACTAAAAACACACAAAAAAGATGGCTGTGGTGGTGGTTACCTGTAATCTCAACTAGTTGGGAGACTGAGGCACGAGAATTGCTTGAACCCGGGAGGCAGACGTTGTAGTGAGTCGAGATTGTGCCACTGCCTCCTGGGTGAAAGAGTGAGACTCAAAAAAAAAAAAAAAAAAAAAAAAAAAGAACCACCAAGACATATAGATGGGGAGGGTGGTTGGTTCTCCTCCCAGAATCTACCACTCCCGGGGGCGGACCAGCTCCTCCAAGGGAAAAGGGCTTGGGCGCCACCCTGGCTGAAGACGGTTCGGAGTGAGGAACTTCAATTAGTGGGAAAATCCATCCACTGGGATGCGAGAGGGCCATGAGCTCACCTGGGGCCTCGCTGCCCGCTGCCCAGCAGCCATGTCCTCTTCCTGGGCTCTCCCCTGAGGGCGGTGCAGTCTCCAGAAGGCGGATCTGAGAAGAGAAAGGAAGCCAGGAGGAAGCCCCTTCTGCTTGCCAGCCCTGGAACCCTCAGCTCCGAAATCCCACCCCGCGTCCGCAGAGGGAGGCGCCCGGAGCCCGCGGAGGAGCAGCGCCGGGCGCCCGTCCAGGCCCGGGTCTCGTGGGCTCTGGGCCTCCGGACCGGACGCTGGACCCGCGGCGGCGGCAGCAGCCCGCTGCGCCCCCCAGGACCAGGGCCCGCCCCGAGCCGCGGAGGCCCTCGGCGCCAGGTGGCACCGCCAGCACCCACTGCGCCGCTCAGGAGACCGGGGCAGCGCCAGGGCACCTGCCCCGTGTGGGCACCTGCCCCGTGTGGGCACCTGCCCCGTGCGCGCCCCTGCGCGGCGGGCCCGGGACGACCTCCTCCCCCCGCAAGCCTTTTCCCACCCGGTTCTCTGCCTCCCGCCACGGAACCATCTGACTGCACAGAAAACGGCTCTGAAGAGGAACGCGTCAGCGGGCCCGAGCAGGGAGGGGCGGCACCGCCGCAGACAGACACGGAAACCGGGGACCCAGCTGCGTCCGCCCCGCGCTCGGGGTCCCGGCGCCCCGAGTCCGCGAGGCCCGCACGGCGCGCACAGGGCGGCCCCCGGAGTGGATGCCCGTCCCCGCGTCCACCGCGGGCGGCTGCCAGCCCGACGCGGGGGCACCGGCAGTGGCGCGGGGCGAGAGTCCAGAGCCCGAGGCGGGGGCCGGTGACAGACGCGGGGGTGCCCGCCCGCGCCCACAAAGGCCCTCGGAGCCCCGGCGACCGCAGGCCGTCCCCGAGCCCGGCGCCGCCTCCTCCCGGCCCGCTCGCTTCTGTCGCTCACCTCCCCGGACTCGGGCGTTCCCGGGCCTCGCCTCCCGGCTGCGCTCCGCAGGCGGGAGGCTCAGGAACCAACCGGCCGGGCTCCAACCTTGCGACCCGGCTCCGCCCCGGCGGCGTCAGGGCGACCTCAGGCCCAGCGGCACGCCAGGAGCGGGCGGGGGTGAGGAGGCGCTGAGGCCTCTGGGAAATGGAGTCCGCGGGGGGACGCTGGCATTCTGGGAAGTGTAGTTCCACGCGTTTGAGGCGGGGTCCTGGCTGAGCCGTTAGGCGCCCGCAGGCCACGAGAGGGCCCCTGGGAGCTGTTGGGCCTCGGGTTCGTGGGTCTTCAGGAATCGAAGGGGAGGTTCGCAGAGCAAGCAACTTGCAACTCGGTGTCTGCGTGAATTTCGGAGACGGCGTGCGGGGCACCAGACAACCGCCCAGAATAGACCCGTTTCCCGTCAGATACTAACCAGAGAGCCAGTGAGCACCTGCGGTGCCAAGCACAGCTGCAAGTGATTTCAGATGTATCAATGAATGAAACAAATGTCATTGGCCTGGAGAACACTTTTTTGTGGGGTAGGAAGCAGGCAATAAGCCATAAACATAAAGCATTTTGGGGGATAAATGTGATGAGACAAAGGGTATCACTTGATGTCAAGAGTTCGAGACCAGCCTGGCCAATATGGTGGAACCCCATCTCTACTAAAAATCCAAAACTTAGCTGGGCATGGTGGTGCACACCTGTAGTCCCAGCTGCGCAGCGAGTTGAGATTGCACCACACCACTGCACTCCAGCCTGGGCGACTGAGTGAGACTCCGTCTAAAACACAAAACAAAACAAAAACGAAAAGAAAGTACTTTTCTGTTTACCCGAACTATGAAAATAATGGATTCGTTATAAAACGCTTACACCCCCGCCACACTTCAGGAAGGGGCACCTCTTTCATTGGTGGTCAGTGATGCATCTGCAGCCTGTGCTCCTGGAGCACTGTATGTGGCGGTGCTACAAAGCGCGGCGTTGCTCACGTACAGTACTACTTCCGGTGACGCGGGACGCACGCGTCATGGCTCTGGAAGCGTGTCATATGACGCACATCTGGTCTGCGGCTGCCGCGCCCCACATCACCGGAGGCAGTGTGAGATAACAGCAGACGTAGGAAGAAAGGCAAAGCACTATAACCATTACTGCACAGTACAGTGGCCCCCATACTCCCCCAGATGTACAACAACATAATGGCCCCATAACCTCCTTTTGCCCAAAAGTCTCCCCCGACATTACTACACACCGTGTTTCCCCTGTTATAAGTCCCTGTCTTATATTAATTTTACCCCCAAAAGACGGGGGCTGTCTTATTTTTAGGAGGTGTCTTATAATAGGAGAAATATGCAGCAGTGGGCTTCCCACAGAAGAGGCCCACTGCTGCAGATGTCCAGGATGCTGTATGCACAGTGTCACAGGCTGATCACCGCTGTCCCTGTATACAGCACTGGAGGAGGTGCTGGGCCTGTGACACTGGATACCGTGGTCTGGGACAGTGGAGGCAGCAGCGCTGGCCGTGAAGGGTGTCACACCTTGCATAGTCCGGCCCTCCAACGGTCTGAGGGACAGTGAACTGGGCCCCTGTGTAAAAATTTGGGGGACCCCTGTACTAGAGAAATAAGTTCAGCAGAAACACTGATTATATCTATTCATAAATGCTATTTTGTGTACATATGCACATTTGTGTGTATGAACCAAAAATGGAATCACACTTCTCATATGATTTATTTCATATTTTTTGTCTTAGTTTGGCAGACTGTGTTCATTCATGAACATTGGCCTGCTGGCTCAACCACAGAGATACGTAAGCAGGCTCAAGTGTTTACAATCCTGATATGCCACACTTTTTTTCCTTTTTTGAGATGACGTTTCGCTCTTGTTGCCCAGGCTGGAGTGCAGTTCACCACCACCTCTGCCTCCCGGGTTCAAGCAATTCTTCTGCCTCAGCCTCCTGAGTAGCTGGGATTGCAGGCATGTGCCACCATGCCTGGCTAATTTTGTATTTTTAGTAGAATCAGGGCTTCTCCATGTTGGTCAGGCTAGTCTTGAACTCTGACCGCAGGTGATCCACTCACCTTGGCCTCCCAAAGTGCTGAGATTACAGGTGTGAGCCACTGTGCCTGGCTCAAATGCCACACTTTATAGTACATAGACTTTATGAAATTTGGCTAGCAAGTTACATTAATCTGTTCTCACATTGCTATAAAGAACTACCCAGCCAGGCACAGTGGCTCACACCTGTAGTCCCAGCACTTTGGGAGGCTGAGGCAGGTGGATCACCTGAGGCCAGGAGTTTGAGACCAGCCTGGCCAACATGGTGAAACCCTGTCTCCACTAAAAATACAAAAATTAGCTAGGTGCGGGGATGGGTGCCTGGCAACCCAGCTACTAGGGAGGCTGAGGCAGGCAGTCGCTTGAACCCTGGAGGCAGTGGTTGCAGTGAGCTGAAATCTCACCACTGCCCTCTAGTCTGGGTGACAGAGTGAGACTCCAGCTCGAAATTGTACCCCCTGGGTGTTTATCCCAAAGGAAGTCTTGTGCTTACACAAAAACCTGTATCTGGAGGTTTATAGTAGTTTTATTCACAATAGCCCAAAATGGAAACAGTGCAGATGTCATTCAACGAGCGAATGGTTCAACAAATTCCAGTACATCCACACAGTGGAACATTACTGGGCAAGAAAAAGGAATGAACATTTGATTCATGTAAAAACCTGGAGGAATCTCTAATGAGCAACTGAAAAAATCTATAAAGGCTGCATACTGTACTACAATTCCATTTATATAACATTGTTGAAACAACAAATTTATAAAGAGGAACAGCATTTCAGTGGTTGCCAGAAGTTAAAGAGGGGCTGAGGGCAGAAGGGATGTGTATGTCCCTCATAAAAAGGGCAGTGAGAGTTTATTCTGGTGACTCTCTTGACTGTATCAATGTCAATATCCTGGTTATATTGTGCTTTCTGAGCTGTTCCTGTTACCACTGGGGAGACCTGGACGTGGGGCCTAAGGGATCTCTCTGGGGTCCCTCTGTACTATTTGTTACAACTGCATGTAAAACTACAATGATCTCAAATAATACATTTCCTTAGAAAAGAAGACCACCAAGAAATGTGGGAAAATGAGCTTAACCCACGGTGATTATGCCACGTATGTGTTTTTATCCTAAAACTATCTCCTGAAGTAAGAAATATCAGCTTGAATTCAATTTTACTTGGAGGATCTGGAGGCTCAGAAACATGAAATAAAAATTGTATGATCACACAGCCAGGAAATGAAAGCAGGATTGAGCAGTTATCTCTGGGGTAAAAGTTGCCCCTTATTGCAAAGGAGCCTCCAAGCAGGAAGCATGACACAGGAGAGAGAGAACAGGTCCCAAGTCACGGGGGAGGCTGAGCTCCCTCCCCGTCCTGTGGCCTTGCTATAATTGGGGGTTCAACCCAAGCCATAAGCACAAGGCTGAAAGGGATGAGGTCACAGTCATTCATTTACTTCACATTTATTCTCATTACACCAAAAGCGAAGAGGAAGGCGTCATGCACTAACACACACATATTGTGCTATTTTTCAGTCTTTCTGATGGAATCAGGATCCAGATTCTAATTGTCTTCAAGATCTGGATCAGTCAGAGATGGCCCACTGTGGTGAGGGAACCAGGCCTGCTGAGGGAAAGGCAGGATACATATATGGAACTGACCATGATAGGTCCATGTTCCAGGGCTCCCATCCAGGTACGTGAAGATTTTCCTCACAGATCACAGGTGTTGGGTACCAGGTCAGGTCTTGTAAGACTATGGGAACGCCATAGGCCTGGGGCTGGAGCTCGCAAGGTACAAAGTCAGCCACATCTGCACAGGGAGGACCTGAGAGAGAGAAGGCACATGGAGGGCTCAGGAGGACGGCACCCATTTTATCCTTGGATCCTTGCTTGTGATCTCACCCAGCCCTGGGGCCATGTCCATTCCAAACAAGTCCATGAACAAAGTCCTCAGGATTATTACTTTGGGGAAGGGCCCATCAGAGCAGCAAGGCCCCTGTGCTGTGTGCTGAGGGACTCTGGGTAGGGCCCCGTGCCATCTTTCTCTGCCCTACTCAGGGCACAAGGATGGTTAGGGTGGGCTGGGGGAAGCCAATGCTGCTTACTAAAGGAACACGGAGGCAAATACAGAAGACACAAACCTGAGACGACGTCGATCCTCCATCCCAGAATCCTATGCAGGGCCTCTCCATAAGGACATGGCAAAGGTTGGCGCCTTGGCCTCTGGTTGGCCTCATGAATAGTGAAGTATAAGTCCTGCAAGCTTCTCAGCATCTGGAGACATTCTTGCCAGCTCTTCTTCATACCCCTCTGCTTGAGACGCCGGGCAATTATTTTTGCTACGACCTGATACTTCTTCTTCACCCTGAATACTTCACACTCAAGAAATTCCCATTCGTTCAGGAAACTCCGGATTTCCTGGTTACTCCACGGTTTCATTATCTGGACTGGAAGGACAGAGGAATATGAATGTACTTTGGCATAACTTAGCTGTACATTTGCTGGATCTTGCCTCTACACAGACAGGTCCAAACTTTACTCCATTCAGTTACGGGAGATCATAAAACCTTAAATGAGAAGTGAGAGATTCAGCATCTGCCTGAGTCCTGATGCCTGAGACATCCAGTCACTGGGACAGGCAAGGAAGCATCTGAGAGCCTGGGTCTTGATCAAGTTCCTTAAAATATGTTTCAGAGGATATTGACAGGGTACGATGGCACATTTGCTGCCTATGAGCTTCTCTGATGTGGGACTCACATCCTACCCGTGGTGGGGCCATTTACTCTCACCTGGGCTGTGGGCAGGGGCAAGGAGCTCCCGGGATGCTGAGGGCAGCCCTGGAATCTCCTGAGATGCCCCCTCTTGGGGCTGGGATGAGTACATCAGACTTGAGAAGATGGAGGTGAGCTGGAAAATTTTCTGTGCTACAAA